CAGTGGCTTGCACCATACCGCTGCCGAACCAGGGAATCCATGCCATTACCGAGCCTGAAAATAACTGCCGCCAAGGTTCCAAACCTGGCAAAACCGTCGTAGTAGTCCCGGTCCTGAAAATAAGTCACCGTACTGAAACAACTATCACCGGGACCATACCGCGCCTGAGTCACACCAGACACCATAGGACGTAGCCTCTCCGCCAACCCAAGGAAACCGACCCAGGGAATCCCGACCATCGGCGACAGTGAAAATCATCAGAATCCGGGAAAAACGTTCAATTTGGGTTCAGAGGTAGTGGCGGTTGATCAAGGCGAAATAAGTCCACCGTTCCGATAATCATGTGTTCTCGTCTTTTCCATCACTTTTCATCATTCTTTCCTTTTCTTAATTCTATCGTCGAAAATAATAAATTAATCGTAAGTTTGCCAAAATTAAATTCCAAGGAAATTTCTATAAATAACCAATTTCGTTTCGTTTCCTTTCCTTTTTACCATTTTTAATTTTATTTTTTTTGTTTTTAATTTCATTGTCGAAAACATAAAATAGCAAGGGAATTTCCCCTTAGATTAAATGTAGTGAAAAATGAAGAAAATAAAGAATATTGCGTTTTTCTCCGCTCCTCTTCTGGCCTTGATCTTTTTCTTTTATTTTTAATTATGATGTTTAAAAAGACAAAAATCCAAGGCCTCATTTCGGCCCCGGTTGTATGCCGTTAAAGCGCTGCGGCGAGGTCTGTTCCCGCGATCCCTCTCCGTGGCAGGCCAAAACGGTCCCAATCCTCTGAGCGACCGGAAATGACGGTCTCTAGTCGTGCTCAGTGCACCTATCCTTTTTGCTGTCTTTGGGGGTTACTCTTAAAATCTATTGCGTGCAGAATCAGGGGTACCCTGAGTTCTCATAATTCCTGCAGCCCGGTCATCCCAAAGCACTGTCAAAACGCGGACTTAACCCTGAGCCTAAACCTCTAAACTGCCGTTTTCAGGCGGCGCACTACTTGTGGCCGCCTGACAACGTCTCATCCTTCCTGCGACTCAAACCTATGATCTTGCCCAAAACTTGCTCGCAATTTTTCCTTACCCCAATTCCGAAAAATATTGGACCTTTCGATCGGTAACAACGTCTCGTTCGAGCGATCAAGAATTTGGTAGTTGGCAAGTCCGCCGCCAAAGGCTAGATTCGAGACCATGCCATTTTCCGCTACACTCATCTCCTCCCACTCGCTCATCAAAGTTTTTCCTGCCTCATCACCGTAGACATCGACTGCCGACTTTGGAACCACTAAGCTTCAGTCCCCCACTCTTCCCCCAACTGCAAAGGCCAACCCCATCATCATCTTGATCAGATCTTCGTTCTTCGAAAAATAAGGAGCGATCCTTCAAGCAAGCATCCAATCGTCTGATTGCTTTACTTACCTCCGATTGCCTTCATCAGATTCACTTGATCTGATAGTCCGATTTGTTTCATTCGCTGTCCACCTTTCTGACTTGCTTTAAGTCGCATTATCGATTTCCCGGTTCTGGCCTCTCCATGCCGCCACGAAGCAAAAAACATCGACTAACTTTAGAGGCAACTTTGTTTGTTGCTACCTGCGCTGAATCATTGTGATCTAGGCATCTCACCCTACATTCGAAGTCCTACTAGTTTCGACTTGCGTTCACCCCCAGCAATCCCAACCTTCGCATCAAAGAATCTTTCATCTGTGTACTCCATGATCGCCCACCAAGGACGATCAGACCATTATGATCGTAAGCGTTGGTAGACTGGTTAGAGAATAGTTATGGCCAAACCGGAATCATTTATCTGTGAGTTGCGATCGGAATACTCTGCACTGGCGAACATGAACCGGCGCGTATGTGCGCAGCGGCGCCTGGTCTCTGAGATCCAATTCGGCAATGGCCAAAAACGACTCAGCTAAGGACAGCGAATCGATGACGCTTCTTTGATGAACCCGGACGGAGTACAAAGCGCAAGGAAACGAGTTTAGTTGGCCAAAAAATTGTTATTCAGTGTCAGACCTGTACAACAAATTCCCGCCCGAGCTTCCCAAAGTCGGTTGCCTCCGAAATACCAAGAGGGTTGTTGTGTCTTTGAGGGAGGAAACCGAGATAGAGAGAGAAAGAGAGAGAGAGAAGAAAGGAAGAAAACAAAGAAGGGAGAGATAAGGGTAGGAACAAAAGTGAGAGAGAGAGAGATAAAAGAAAGGAGAGGAAGATGAAGAAGCAGAGAGAGGAAGAGGCAGAAGGTCCGGAGGAGGTCGAGGAGAGAGGAGGAGGTGGAGGAAGAGAAAGGAGTCAAAGATCACGCAGCCAGATCCCCGAAGGCCAGATCTAGATGCGCCGCACCGAGCTCGATTAACTTACTTACCCAGCGAATGCAAATTTTACTTGTTAGACTACGACCACTCGTTGGTCGAAATGGATACAGGAGAAAGGGACTTAGTGGGGAGAAGCTAAACGACAACCACCGAATTCGCTGCGGCCAGAAGGGACAAAGTTCCTTCCTCCCAACCTTCCCCTATACTAATCCCTCAAACCAACTTTCGATTTCCGACTAATTACAGCTCCATGTTCTCCTTCTTGTGTATGCCTATCATTTTACCCATCGCAGTTCCGGCGATGACTTGATCTCTCGGAGCTTCCATCCGCTCATGAGCATTCTCCAGGCTTCCCTAAAATCTTCCCTTCGTCTACTTCCTCAACCCTACCTTCTCTGCGCCGAATCGTACACCGGCGCAGTTCCCAAGCGTCATCTCTCTCATTCTAGATTCCGCTTCTCGCTTCTTCGCCTTGGTTCTACCGTAGTCTTGATTCCTTCGCGGCCAAAGCCGACCGCCCCACGCACCAGCCAAAAGACCTCTCTCTTCTCTAATATCTAAATACTAACTCAATCGATAGCGACCGCTCCTCAAAGAGCAGTTTTGCTCCGCGCGCCGCTCCGCTACTTTGGTTCGCCGCAAAATCCTACCTGGCTAGGTTTTCCTGACTCTGAACGCGGACGCGAAAACAACTACATCCAGGAAATCCTACTGGCCAGGTCCCTTCTACCCTACGGCGGAGTTCGATTCACACGAAGTCGACCGAGCGCAGGGCACCGGAGGCTTCCTAGCGCCCCAGCTTCTCACCTCGAGGTGTCGCCAGCGATCAAGTACTACGAAGTACTCGAGTAAGAGACCTCCTTACCCTACCTCTTTCTTTAAATAGAAGCTCGTTCCCTTTAATTTCAACCTGTGCCCCCTTTCCCTAGATTATAAATCGATTCACTTCCCTCCCCTTTTGTTCCCTGTCTTTCGGGTACTCACCTCAGCCCTGAAGAAAACTCGTTTCGCCGTGCGAAACAGGGAAACAATCTCTCAGTCCGATACTCACAGCTTGTCGCCCACCCGTGCAGGAACGTGCCACTCAGTTCAGCGTGTGCTCAAGCAGAGGAATGGAAAATCACAGCGTGATGAGTGCCCTTGGCTATTATCCATTTATAGCAAAGAGCACTCATCCAGGGACAGTCCCGTCTGAGTTAGCCCCACTTCTGGGCCCTATCCAGGAACCCAGGTAAGACTCTGAATCCTGAGCTGCAGATTGGGATGCTGAAGTGCCGCGAAGCTGGCCACATCAGACGAGAAAGGGCCTTGTCAGACGAGAAAGGGCCTCGCCCCACCACTCTTGAAACCGCATTTTCAAGAGTTGGATGCGTCGCCACCCAGCCATTTGAGAGTTGTAGTGAGTTGTCAGAACCTCATTTCAAGAGTAGCACTCGAAACTCCGAAAAGCCCAGCCTGCGGCGCCGCTCTTTTCAAGCGTCCTCCCGAGGGCACTCAAAGGGCCCTTGATTTTAGAGAGGTGTCAGGCCGTTATCCTGACGCCCTTGATCTTAGAGAGGTGTCAGGCCGTTATCCTGACGCCATTGGGAAAAAACAAAGCTGTACGACAGTCGTGTTTCATCGATTGTCCAACACCATCGCCCTTTCGAGAGTGCTGTGTGGCCAGGGGCCCGGAACTCTTGAAAACCGAACTCTTGAGAACGTCTGACAGCTCTTGAAAAATTTCCCCCTTTCAAGAGCGGTGTGGCGAGGCCCAAAATCGAGAAAGGTCGGCACGCCAGACATGTACAGCCATTTGGTGCGCGATGCCGAGGACCGTTTCTCGGGGTCTCGCTCCACCACTCTCGGCATGCACAAAAGACAAAAATCATGGCGGTTTATGCACTCTCGTTTTGCCCATGTAGAGAGTAGTCGAGCGAGGTCCTAAGAAACGAGAAAACGGGGAACAATAAAACTGGCTGTCTACTGCTAACGTATCGTGGTGTTTGGTGTATATCGCTTGTTCTTGCCCCGCCCTCTTGTGATGTCTTCCTGATCGCCTCGAAGCTGTCCTGTTTTTTTGTTTCTTCATCGCCACCACTCGTCTCCTCCCCTGCATTCTCCTTGCCGCTTCGTGATCTTCTCCTTCCTACCTACTTGCATTGTCGACCGCGGTCTGAATTAGCAGTTTTCGTTCTGCCCCCTGGCAGTCTGTCTCTTCGAGCGTGGTCTGAGTTAGCAGGCCTTGTTTGCTCCCTCCCGGCGGGCCATCTTGAACGCGTTGCTCGCTCCAGCTTTCCATCATGAGGCAACAACGGCTGCGGCCGGTTCTTCTGCTCATAGGCTTGCTTTCGTTCCTCGTACCCCATGGCCCTGGCTATGGCGGCGGCGCCAGGGCGCCATTCGCTGGAATTGTGCCTAGCGCAGCGGCGGCGGCACCGACCACACCAGAAGCTCGTCTGCGAGCTGCTGTGACTAAGCGCGGCACGACGGTCTTACGACTGACATCTGACCTGCGCTTGACTTCTGATTTGCCTGCAGTGACGTGCCCTAGTCTAACTGTCACGGGCAACTGCAGGACGGTGAAGGGACGATCTCGCAGATGCAAGATCGACGGTAATGAGCGATTTGCCGGCTTCCTCGCAATGAGCGTAAATCTAACGCTGAGTAACCTTGAGGTTACCGGCTTTGCCTCCAAGAACGGGAAGGACAACACATTCGTCCGCAGCGTCAGCGGCGCAATAACGATCCGCAACTGTCTCTTCACGAAGAACAGCGGAGGTGTTATCGATGTGACCGGTGGCGACGGACTGAAGGTCGAGGGCTCGAGCTTCGTCAGAAACGAAGGCGGCGTAATCAAGGTGGCATACAGCACGATGGAGGCGAACGACGTTCTCTTTCAGGCTAATACAGGCGGTACAGCTATTGGATTAATTAGACCAGGGCTGATATGCCGGAGATGTGTGTTCGAGAACAACACTGCGAAGACACAGGCAGCGGCTGTGGCAGTAGTATCGGCCGGGGGCATAAGATTTTCGCGCTGTCGGTTTATCGGCAATACCGTGACGGAAGTGGGAGGACGTGGAGGGGCAGTGGCTGTTCAATACTCCTATGGGCAATTCTGCCACTGTCAGTTTGAAAGGAACACCATCAAGGTTGCGGGAGGGAAAACGAGAATCGAACACGTGTACATAAATGGGTTAGTGGAATTCTGTGGGAAGGTCCCCTCGACTGGCATGAATGGCGACGCTGGAGACCCGCAGGTGAATTGCAGAAACTGCCCTTCAGCTTGATCAGAAGACTGATCAGTTCCGATCATATCAGCGCTTGAAGTAGACTCTGAGGCACCGAGGTAACCTTGCTCACACTTCCTCGTACCGTTGTCGAGTGTTTGTGCGGCTATCAATTCTGCGAGAAGGTCCCCTCGACTGGCGTGAATGTCGACTCTAGGGCTGCGGAGGTGCCTTGCAGTAGTTGCCCTTCGGCTTGATGGGAGGCCGGTCAGTTCCGATACCTGCGATTGGAGTAGAAGTTACCTTGCTCGCACTTCGTCATACTGGTGTCGCGTGTTTCCGGGGCTATGAATCGCCGCTGCTCTTCCTCCCGCCCTCTCCTTCTGCCTCTCTCGTGTGTAGCTGTCCGCAAGTGCGACACCGCCTTGGAAGGACAGAGAGAGTGTAAGGTACCGAGTGACTAGTGATGGTCCTTCAAATGCGTTTGTATGGATGGATTAGATGGGAGAGAGAGAGAGAGAGAGAGAGAGAGAGAGAGAGAGAGAGAGAGAGAGAGAGAGAGAGAGAGAGAG